ACAAGACTCTTATATCTTGTTGCCGATTACGCCCATCTGCAATACCAACCGTCTTACGGTACCAAGAAACATGAGTACCAAGTTTCATAAAGATATCTAAATTTTTACTCAAGTTACAGCTTGCATAGACGGACGGACAGACAGTCACCCGGATTTCAACTCGTCTCTTCATCCTGATCATTTATATATATATAACCCTTTATCTCACTCAATTAGTTTTAGGTGATACAAACAACTCTGTACCAACAAGTTGCGAGGGTATAAAAAGCCAAACATTTTGTTATTTGAATTTTTCACATACATTCTGAGGTTATGTAAAAAAAAGTCTGTATACAAAAGTTATAGATCTTTGGATACCTGCAACATTGCCATTTAACTTTTTTCGATAGGACTCATAGTTTTGCTGGAAATCGAGATAAATCGTTTTTAAACACGCTCCTCCCCTCCTTTTCTTGACCTCAGATTGCTCGTAAATTATTTTTCCTTTAATATTTGTCATTTTGTCTTTCGTTTCCGCTGAGTTTCATCCTATTATGATTTTATTTGTTTTCAAAAATTATCTACCCTGGTCTACATATATCTCTGAATATTCGTTTTTGAAAAATGGAATGCTACAACATTAAGAATGAATGAAAATTATGATATATATAAATCTAAGTACATACAAGTATATCATACATATGTATATATATAATATTTAGCGCCTGTCTTTCAACTGGAGCATTGACTTACACTCTCCCTTATTTTGTCATCTGACTAATTGAGCTTCGTACATATTTTAAGTCGGTCACGAAAGAGTGATTGATTTCGAAAAGACTCTCCTCAAAATTCAACCATCGTGTGAAATTTGTAGAAATAATTCATTAACTTTAAACACAGATGTGTCTTGGTATTTTCTCTGCAATCATTACCCGTATCGCATTGAGAACTCTAATATAAGCAATTTTTGGAAACTTTCAGTTCACATGATCTAATCAGGGATTTTTATTCTAAAAGCAGTACGTAAAGTTTAGCCGATTGCAAAGACTGAAGCTGGTCTTTTCTGATATTCATTGCAAACACGAGTCGCAAGGAGTACTATGGCACTTGAATTGAAGGGAAGTAGCGAACGAAATGATTGATTTATTACTGTCGAAGTCGGTAAAGTACACAGCGGACATTTTTATATCCTTTATTCATGACATTATATATGACTATGTTCAATCAATTTTTCAATGCCACTTTGGATTTATTTGTTTTTTAATAGACAGTCATTCTAGGATGTGTATCAGCTGATATCCTCCGATGTCTATTTGTTGTGTCATTAAGCCTGTATATACGGTTATTCCACCTATTTTATAGACTCAGACTTCAGCTTATAGCTGAATAAATTACAAATAAAACCGCTTTGCTCTTTTCTTAATAGTCTTTAAAAAATCTCTTCTTGGCTTTAGTCCGAATATTGCAATCCATAATCTAGATATTATTAGTAACTATCAAAGTCAAATTATCACTTGGTTTAATCGGGGTTGTAATTTAGAGTCTTCAAAATTATTTTCAATTTTTAAATAATGTATTAGCTTTTAATATCCTAAAACAAGTTTCGTCTGCATATACGCGAATTAGTCCCCAAGCTTTTGAGATATCGATCTGACACTTTGTACACTTTTTTTCTTTATAAAAAGCTGCTCATTTGTCGAAAACGTCGATATCGGACCACGATACGTTAGCATATAGCTGTCATATAAACGGAACTATAAAAATCAACTACTTGTATGGAAAACTTTTTTATTTGACAAGATATCTTCACGAAATTTGACATGAATTACTTTCTTCATTAATAAAAATTGGTTTGCCCTAATTTTCTGAAAAAAAAATGTTTGTATGGAAGTTAAGGCCTTAAATGTTTCCTATAAATAGCGAAACTTTTTCCGTGAAATGTTTTATAGCTTATTAAAACCATTAGGAGGCTTATGAGCAATTTTAAAAATTCTAGAGAGATGTTATACCTTACTCATCGTACATCCTACTACATAAAAGTACTTGTATTTGTCAACTTTTATTTAACGTGAAAGCTTTACCATTTTTTTTTAAACCCACAATTTTTCATAGAATTCAATTTAATTTTTCCTTTTTTTGCGTGTAAATGAAAACCCTGATGTCAATACATTTCTATATTATCCACACGTGGCACAACAGAATTATTTATTGGCACATGCTCGTATTTCCAATAAATTCGTACCAAGAAATGATTCACAGATATTATTATGTTTGAACGTAAAGACCATTGGCCTTGTAATTACGATGTTCCAGCAACTTAGTTATACATATAAATACATATGGTATGTTATGTGAAAATGGCAATAAACACAGCCATCCGATTTTAATTGAACCAATCTGTATAGATTTCAGGGGCAGAAAATGCGTGCTGTTTGTGCACATTTTCGTATAATAAAAGGATTTAATTGTGGATTGCTAAATATGTACAAAATTGTAAGCAATCAGAGGATCAGCGGGCGATGGATTACAATAGAGTCCTTGATGCTGATTTTGTGTGAAACGCCTACACTTGACCAGCAACCTGCTTACAGATAAAATAAGGCATACACGCATACAGACATATATAAATATATGATGTATGTATTTACATATGTTTTAATAAAAGAAAAATAAAATGGATTACTACAGAATGAAATTATAAAAAATTAACTTTCTAGAGCGTAGTCGCTCAGTTCAATCAGCTCCGTTAGTTTATATTTAAAAGCGATTTTCGCAAAACTAAATTTTTTAATACTATAAATTTTTTTCTGCATGTTCTATATATACCTATATTATCTATGAGTTTTTTGATCTGACCAAAAATCGAATTTTGGCAGGCCAAAAACGAACAAAATTTTGTCTGAAATTATATTTATTGTAAATACCGAATTTTTTTTGTAATTTCATCCGGGGAAGGTCCGAATCATTGCAACAGTGTAAGACTTTTTTTAGCGCCGTTGGAGATTGCGTTAAAAACTCGAAAAATATTTAATTTTTTTCTTCAAAAACTTTACCCACTAATTTTAAAATTTTTAATACAGTACTTGTAGTTTTTGCTTCAACTCTCAAAAGTTACCTTTTTTAGGCTGTCATACTATACTAGGAGTGCTCCATAAAAAAATTAACTTATCCTTCATTCAAAAGAGCCAAGTGTTAAAAATATTTATTGCGCCCGTAAAAAAATATGGTATTGCTGGTATGCCTTTATAGTCTCTTCGGAATTTGAAAACACCCAGCCGAATGCAGCCAAATACAAGTATAATATAGTCTTACAATTTGTAAGAATCAAAAGCGTCAAAATATTTTCTGCAATTTTTAATATGAAACCACATTGTTTCTAAAATAGCATAGCCATTTCATGCCATTACTGTATTAAGTCAACCAGAAGATTGAAAATGAGTGATATATGGGGTCCAGGGGAAGTACGGAACCGATGTTATCCAATTTTAGCATCAGAACATTTCATGGTTAGTAGAAGATGACAACTTAGATTCATTAAGATATCTTACAGATTCACCGATACTTTTGTTATAAAGCTAGATATAGTCACGGAGGTCCTCAAATTCAAATGTAGATTAAATTATTTTTTAATGCATTATTTGCAACCCTGGTATGAGCCAATAAATAATTATTATGTGGCACATGTGGATAATACAGAAATGTACTGACATGAGGGTTTTTTACTTACACAGAAAAATTAAATTGAATTCTGTGAAAATTTATGAATGAAAACAATGGCTTTCGTGTATATGGCGACATACATATGTCCCATGATTAAGGGCTAACATTACACTAGATTTTTAAAAATTGCTTAATAATTTAATAACGAGAAAAAAACGCAGCTATACGAGTAATACCCTTCACGGAAAACGTTTCTCTATTTATAAAAAACAAAACAATTTTTAAATTTATATCACAGAGTTTGAAAATTAGGAATATATTAACCACATCTTATCTAAAAATAAGATATTTTAAGTTTACTGTATATACGAGAACTTGTCATTGAGTTTTTGAGATATCGATATGAAATTTTGCACACGTCCTTATCTCTCAAAGACGCTGCTCAAACTGATCGATCAAAATCCAGTCTTTGTACTGAAAACCTTTTAATTTGATAAGATATATGCATAAAATTCCTATGGATTGTTCTCCAAGGTAATGGTACAATTTCCGAAGAAATTGTTCATATCGGACTGCTATAGCATATAGCTGCCATACTAACTGACCTATCAACATTAAATTGCATTATGCGAAACTTTTTGTTACTTGACAAGATATCTTTGCGAAATTTCTTATGGATTATTATGTAAGACAACGGTACAATCTTCAAGAAACAAATAAGAAAATGTACAGATGGGACCACTACAGCATATAGCTGCCATACAAACTGACCAATCAAAATCAATTTCTTGTATTACTTATTATAGTGAGGTTAACATTTGTTAGGAATCATAACGATGGATCTTAAGGACACAGTTAAAATGCTCTCTATTTTATGAAAAGCTACACTTACATTGCACTCTCTGATTACGCACTAAACATTATGTTTGCTTGAATGATAAGTACCGGAATATTTTGACAAAGTACGTGCCATTCGCTGCAGTAGGAAAGCGAATATGACAAAGCAATTACAACAATGTACATAGAAATGATTTTTAATATAGATTTAAATTCATGGAAAATTTCAAGCAATTTTGCTAGTACGGCAAGTAACTAAAAACTAGATTAGAACAAAGCAAATTATGCATAGAAGCCGAATACGAGCAAATACTACTGCAGGAGCACATGCATAAGTTTTGAAAACGTCAAGCTCTGTGTTATCAACTCACACACAACTGAATTTAAAAAATGTATACCAAAATAACATCAACATGACCACACATAACGGCAAAGGAGTAAAACACAAAAACTATTTACATAGTAAGAACAGGTGTGCACAAGGCCATTAATTGCCAAATCATACAACACGCATGCGCACATACCTTATGGCCACGTAACGCCATATTGCCAAAGTCACCGTCAGTCCGATGGATATCGTGTGCAGAATTTGTGTAAAGTGCATGTGAAAAAGGACGAAAACCGCCCAGGCATAGCTGAAATCCTCCTCGCCTGAAACCGAATACAAACAAACACATGTGTATACATACAGTTAATTCTTTTGTAACAAACAAGTGATAAATGCAAATTCATAACATTAATTATGTAGCATTAACTATGTGCCTACAGGTAGTTAAAGTGTAATTGGAGTAGGCTGGCATGAATAGGCAATGGCAACAAGACTTCCTTAAATTAACACATGTAAATACAAATTGTTTATTTACATATGTGCCTGTGTATATATTGTAGTAAATATTTAATAAACTTTAGTTAGCTGTAATTACGCTTACCTGGTTTCATGTAGATATACTGATAAGAAACGAACGGTATGTACTCGATCATCACGAACATATCCGCTATAGCCAGCCATTTGAGTATTTTATTAATTGGTGCTTTGGCCATATCCTTTTTGGTTAGTACGATTATGTTGAGGATGTTCGCAATTGTGCCGAATATGCAGATCTATGAATAAACAAGGGAATCATAAAATTACGGAGAATGTTTGCAGAAGAGAAAACAATAAAAAAAAGTAAGAAAAAACTAAGTTTGGGCGAAACCGAAATTATATACAATTAAATGCCATATATAATAAGCAATGAAGGTCAGAATAGTCCGATATTTGTTAAACGATGTTATGTCTAAAATTATACCCCACCTAGTCCAAAAATTAAAAAAAATCTAAATTTCGATATTTAAATAGCTTATATATTCCAAAATATCTTCCTAAAAGAAATTTTTTAAAGTTAAAATTATTTTCAAAATTACAGCTATTTTAGTGTAGCTGGCCACTAGTTAGGGTCAATTTAAAGCTTTAAACGCGTTTTACTCGAAACTACTTTTTTCGATGCGGTCTTCAAGATACGTCAAGTTCTAATCATTCGATTTACAAAATATTAGCATGAATAATTTTTAAATAATATATAATATAATAATCTTAAAATAAATATATAAATATTTTTAAAAAATGTAAGAAACTAAAAAAGCTAACAAAAAAAAGATTTTAATTTTTGATAGCCGCCATTTTAGAAAAAAAAATTGTTTATTTTTGGAGTTTTGTTAAATCATACGATCATGACATAGTAGTAGTAATCAAGAATCTTTCATTGTTTAGTGTTTGAAACGACCACAAGGGTAGAAATGATGACTTAGGTCCGTTCTTTTTTCGCCTCTTTACTTCTTTCTCTTGTTCTGACATTTTTTTTGTACTCATTAAACAGGAATTAACAAATGAATGAAATGCATAATAAAAATATGTTTTTTTTTTGTTTTATAAATTGCCAAAAAACGCTCGACTCTTATAAGAATTGGATGGTTCATAAAATATATCTCCCAATAGCTTGAGAATTCAAATGAATTGTTGGGAAGCAATAATTTAATTATAGAAGCGAAACGCCTACATTCAAAATATTCCGTATATGTCTTACGCTAATATTTAAAGTTAATAATGTAAACTAACAGTCCGCATTATTTCAGTTCGAGCCTAGTTTTCTATCAAAATCAAAAACAAACGTTCTTTTTTAAAAGCGGTCGCCCCTTGGACAGACGACAAAAAAGCGCCCTTCTTTTACGAAGCATTTTATTTCGGAGGCATTATAAAACTTGTAAGACTCTCCATTTGTTGGATGACAGCCAAGCAAGTGGATGACAAGTGCCATAGTTCGGCAAGCGTTATGTAACTAACTTACTATCTACACTGACGTACTATTACAGACAACAAAGCCGTCTTCGATTCGCCATTTCTTTGCCCGCTTAATTTGTGCGCTGTTTGTCAAAAATTTCAGGAAGTTAAAGCAACAACAAAGTGTGCGAATACTACATTTTAGCGATATTTAGTTTTGTATCCAGAAGAAAATCAGATTATGGTATATGTGTTGCTCCGTTACAAATACGTCGATTTTACATTTCGTAATAACTTAATTTGTCTAATAAATTTTTTATCGAGGTTTTATTGTTTATTATTGGATTTTATACTGTTAAATTCCTGTTGTATACGTATAGCATTCTTCCTTGATGGAAATTTCTTATAAATATAATATTAAGCCCACCCAAAAAGTGGTAGACTTTGGAGTAAGCATTTTTACTGCATATACCAGACGATGAAAATATTCTATCTATACCGAAAAATCGATGTATTAAATGAGCGATACAATATGCGAAGTATTGATGTCTAATCCAATTTTAGCCGCACTGGTACATTTAAATTGCGTCCGCAAACCGAATCGATCACAACTTTTTTCAAAAGAGAGATAGCAGATGATATCAAAATCTCTTATGAATAGACTTATGCTTTGGGTATGAAACGTTTTGGAAAAACGGCGTCGAGTAGAGGTTGCAAAATAAATACTTGACAACCCAACATTCCTCAAAAGTACTTGACCCGAGAGAGTGGGTTTACGATTATGGCGTCGAAACTATCCAAAAATCTAGAGAATGGCTCTCCAAAAATGAGCCGAAACCGAAAAAACATAATTTAACTGAAGGCGCTGAAGGCCATTCCAGTTGAAAATTGTGTATAAAGTAAACAAGTGTAAAAGTGGAAAATTGGCAAGCTTGTATTAGCTCATAATGAGCCTATTTTAAAGGCGATAATATAGATTTGTATTAAAATATCTGAAAACTTTTTTTTTTTGCTAGTCCGCGTTAGTTTTGATCAGATGGTAAAACATTTAATATTTGAATCAGATGATATTGTAAGAAGATTAAGATTTAAATTATCAATGATAAAATAAAGGTTCTACAAATTTTTTTCAGAAGCTTTTTTTATAAAAGTTAATACACTCTTTATTTATGTTAATAACACACTTCATTATATAAAAAAAAATGAAGAAACCAGAAGAACTGCTTTCATATATCGAAATACCCTGCGAGTGAACTTTTGGTGGTTCATTTCGCCCGCATCAGACAAAAATAAATAAATTACGTTGATGACTTTTTCTTCCACGCCATTTATTCTCATATCTATAGTTCAACACAAGTTCCCCATGGCATATATATACATACACACACCAACAAATAAATAATACTCTCATGTTTTTGCAATAGTCGACCATTTGCTGTAATTAGCATCATTGGTGCCACTTTCTGCACTTTCCGTTAGTTTTAACCTTTTTGTGGAATCGCTTTATTTATTATCACGCACAAAGCGCTCACTCACCTATATATGTACAAGTATGTACCTATTTACTTATATAGGAAAAAGTGTAATTTAATTTGAATGGTCTGTAGCATCAGTGTGGCTCTTTGAATCTTCGCGTTGAAGTAAATATCTGCGGTGTAATTAAATAGTTTGTGTGTATGTGTTTCGTATTTATGGTGCTGTTAAATGAGATAAACAATTGCATTTACAAAAGTTATTTGCTCATTGTGGGAATTTTGGGCGGCTTTTGTCCACTTCTCTTGCTTCATGAAACTCAATTATAATGAAAGTAAATATCTGAACGCCAATGAATTTTCGTTGACCACATGTATAGGCCATGGATATATAAGAGTACATATGTATAAATACTCGTATATTCATATGTAAATAAATTTCGAGTAGAACTTTTATCATCATTATGCTCTGTGGTAAGCTAAAGCGGATATTAGTGATTTACAGTAGGTCATTTCCTATCAACTTTTGTTATTTATAGTCCTCAATATTATTTTGCGTTTAATTTGTTGCATTTTGTCTATAATCAGTAGTATATATTAGGTCAAGTAACGTTTCCGTCTGGATGTTACAAACTTTGTAGCAAACCTAATATAGCCTGTTCGAGGTATAAATATATGTAAATATAGAGACATTTTTCTTAAGATCGAATTCAAAATCATGTCTAATTTTCTGTATATGTCGTTTAAATATTAACCACTAGTTCTTATGTTTCTAGGAATTGAAATTGTTTACTTTTCATTAGCTCGCTGGACTGTCATCGACAGCCTAAGTCACACTATCTTTAAATTCATCATTTCAATATGATGAAGGATTAACACGTTGATAAAGACAATATAGCGAGAACAGCGTCACAAGCTGTCAAACTCTCATAGTAATGGTAAACGAAACCTCCGCTTGTTTTGCCTTATGACGTCACGAACCAATATTTTTTCTGTCAAACATACCACAAAACAGTTCCGGGATGAAACTATCACAATCAATTTAACTTCAATTATGATAGAAGTATATCATCGTTTAAAATAGACGTATCTCTTGAAACATTCAAAAAGATCTTAAATAGTTCATTCTGGCCACCTGGGACTTTTGTACGCGAATTTAAACCTAAACTTAGAAGTCAACCTGAGGAAAACATTGTTAAATTACCAAAAGCAACCACCGATATAAAAAACTGATTGGTAGAAATTCGCTAAGCGTTTATTAGTTCAGATACAATTAATGTTTCTTCTGGTGTTCCGCAAGGTAGTCATCTTGGCCCGATTCTGTTCTTGTTGTTTATTAACGATATCTCTTCAGTAATAGAATTCTCAAAAATTTTATTATACGCTGACGATGTAAAGCTCTTTAAATCATACACCTCAACTGAGGAAAGGTGTCTGTTGCAAACAGACTTAAACAATTTGGTTGCATGGTGTGATAGAAATGATTTGCCATTGAATCTCCATAAATGTAAGACGATGTGCTTTTCCCGTAGATCTGTGCACCCCTCTTCTTATATAATAAAACACCATATTCTAGAGCAAGTTTTAAACTATGTTGATTTGGGAGTTAATATGGACCCTAAGCTTAATTTCAGTCTTCATATTGATACCATGGTCTTGAAAGCAAAAGCCGCTCTCAGTTTTGTTAAACGTTGGTCTAAAGAATTTAGAGATCCGTATATTACTAAAACACTTTATACAACTTTGGTTAGACATATATTGGAATATGGCTCTGTGGTATGGAACCCTAGCTACCAAATCCATTCTGACAAGTTAGAGTCGGTTCAAAAACAATTTTTACTTTTCACCTTAGCGCATTTCCGATGGGATGCTAGGGTAAGTCTACCTCCTTACACTAGTCGTTTAAAACTTATTAATCTACCTACACTTTCTAGTCGTAGGGAAATGCTTGGCATAACATTCTTAGTGAAACTTTTGAATGGAACTGTTTGCAGTTCTTTTCTCCTGTCTGAAATTAAATTTAATATCCCGGTACGCCTTTCGAGGCAGTCTAGACCTTTACTGCTAAAATCCAGTAGATCAAATTTTGAACTAAACGAGCCATTCCGCCGTATATGTCATGATTTTAATTCTCATTCCAGCACATTTGACTTATCTGACTCACTTTTCAAAATTAAAAAGACTTTATTGTTTTCTCTTAATAAATGAAAATGTAACAATTTATTATATTGAAACTTTAGATCTTAGCTGTTGAAATTTTTGTTTCTGTAGCTGAGCAGTTTTAGATCTCAACACTTAAAAAACTCTCTTGCCTTTTCTGACTCGGCAATTTCCGCACGTATGCGGATTGCGCCCCACGCGTCGGTTGGGCGGGAGGAGGGTAATCGTTGGGTTATTATTATTATTATCATGAACTTTAATCTTAAATATTTGGGTGTTATCCTAGTTTTAATAAGATCTGTAATAAAAAGCAATTTATCTTTATAAACCCCGTCGCTCCTATCATTACAAAGATCTGAAAGTACGTATTTCCGTCATGAAAAGGCTTCTAATAGCTCTTCCGAGTTTGAGAGTCGTCCTAAAAACTGTAGAACCACCCATTTGTTGGGTAACATTATAGATAAAAGGAAAAGCGAAGCCTAATTAACTATCTGATTTTTTTTCCTAGTTAGATCTCCATTCATCAATTAGTGTATGTTTGGTAGTTGTTTGTTTACGACGCAAAGGCTTTGTCTGACGATTTTCATTATGAAACAAGAACGAATGTTAACTTCGGTTGCACCGTAGCTATAATACCCTTCATAGTACCCATACAAAAGATCGCTTACAAGAACTTTGATCGAGCAGTTTGTATTGCAACTATAAGCTGTAGTGATACGATCTGAACAATTTCTTCGTAAATTGCATTATTGTCTTAGACAATAACTTTTGCCGAATTTCGTGAATATATCTTGCCAAATAAAAAAGTTTTCCATATAAGCACTTGATTCTGATGGTTCAGTGTGTATGGCAGCTATATGCTATAGTGGTCCGATATCGGCGGTTCTGACAAATGAGCAGCGTTTTAGTGAGAAAAAGACGTTTGCAAAATTTCAGATTGATATCTCAAAAACTGAGAGACTTGTTCGCATATATACAGACAGACGGACATGGCTAAATCGACTCAACTCGTAACACTGATAATTTATATATATATGTATATATGTATATACTTTATATAATCTCTGAGGTTTCCTTTTAGTTGTTACAAAGATCGTGCCAAACTTAATATACCCTGTTCAGGGAAAAACTGGAAAAGCCAAAACTCGCTGAAATCCATCCTCGCCGAGGCTTATAACAAGTGTATAGAAAATTTGAATTTATAAAATTTAAAATTAATAAAATTGTAATTTTTTTTAATGGCATTCGGCTTTCGGCATTCTAGACACTCGAACGTACGTACTTTTGTCATGAAAAAACAACAAATAAAATTTATTCATTATTAAGAGATTATTACTTGTCGAAAAGCTTCATAAATAGAAGGAGAAACTCGGAAGAAATTATTGCCAAACTGAAATTTTTCATTAAATAAGTATATTTACATATGAAGGTGCTGTACTCAGCTTCGCTACACGTGAAGCTTCCTGTATGCCTTATTTCACTAATTAAATTTCGGTCAGCAACGTAATTTTTAACAATTTCCTCGCATAAAAATAATAATTTCTGAAAGAAAAAATATTTATGAAGCACGAAAACAAGATAAACTGCTACCAACGCTCATTAAATGACAGCTACTAATCTCAACTTTTAAAGCAGGCGTATTAATACTGCTTGCACAAACAACCGTTGGCTGCCACGCCACACGATAAGACAAAGCAGAGCATACGTTGTTACAAAGTTTCAAGGATTTATGACAAGTCCACACCACAACGTAACAGTGGATGAAAGAAGGCAGTTGGACCAACACAACGACACATACTTTATTGGGCTTTGTTTGGGCATGGCAGTACTTACACTGATATACATATATACATACATATATACATACATATACACATACGTACATAAATACATACTTACATACTTACATATTTATTTGTGAGCACGCAGTATCTACAAAGCAATCAGCAGTCATTTTATGGGCAATGTGGTCATTATTATTGCAACATTTGCATACACAAATAAATCTAATGAAAACTCATCGTTTGTAAATGCTTTCGAGTGTCGGTTGGTGTGAGCGAGTAAATTGAGTGAGCGTATATTTTTCGCTTTTTTGTTTGTTTATTTTTTCTGCTGACGTGTGTATTACAGCCACCATCGAGGTCTGAAAGTTTCCCATGTACCAACGACAATACCAACAACAACAACAACAATATTAACTACATGATTTTTGCCAATGCGAATACTTTATTTGCGCAATTATAGCGCTTTACGGCGCGTGTGTTTGTATTTTGTTGTTTACTGTCAGCCATTGGCCTTTTGGTTTTCTGGAATATACACCCCTCCACCATTCCCATCTTTTTGGCATTGTTTATTTTTGTACGCTAGTCATTCAGACGTTATTCATCTTCGTCTATGCGTCGCGGCAAAGTGCGCTGCCCTTCGTGTTGTGGCGCTTCTGTATGAGAGATGCGCATTTGAAGAGCTAGGATACCCTAGCGTCAGCCAGCTACTACGCACCTGTTAAGTACTCCATGCTGCCAAATGAGATGCAACGTCAACAGTAGCGGTATAATACAGCGTGTCGTGGGTGGGTATAGGTATTTACAAACAATTTTCAGCATATACGGCTACTGGATAGAAATACCGAGAAACATCGCATGACTTTGTAAGAAAGCCATTAGCATTTAAAACACCATACCCATTATACCTTTGTAAAATCGGTATGTAAGGGTGAGCGCTTTGAGTTTTCAGACTTTGCTATTCTTCGTTTTTGTTCATTTTTAAGGTCAAAATATGCATGACTTCTTAATTCATTAGCATTTAAAGCTTTGGCAGCGTTTCAACTTTTTACTCCGTGTCTTTCAACTAAATATGCAGAAATTTAATTGAATTAAATACTCGGAACTTGTAGTATATATATACTTAAGTACATAAGTTTATATGTATTTAGGTATTTTCTGAGGTAATGTTGTCGTTGCTTAAGGTTATACTTGTAGTAAGTGGGTATCACAAATTACGAGTATATACATTTTTATAAGTTATCTGGATATTAAATTAGAGAGTTTCAGGAATTTCAGTTTTTTTTTTCGAGCAACGAAAAATATTATAAAGATTTATAATGCAATAAATCTTGAAGATTCAATTTTAGTTTCAATTATTTTTAAAAAAATTTATTCCGTAAATGGACCGTAAATGACCTCCATGCTCAGCCACGCATATGCGACACTTAATTAGAAAATTATTCATAGCGGCCTAAAGGTTTAAAGTCGGAATTGCCTCAATTAATGATTTAATGGGCTGCTTCAATTCTGTCAGATTTCTGGGTTTTGTTTTGTACACCTCCGTCTATACATCTTCTGCGCAGTTCTGGGTAAAAAAATCATTCAACATCTTTAAATAACATTGACACCTGTTACTGTTACACCGTTTTCTTCATAGAAGTATGGCCCAACAATACACCTTACTGAAACTGCGTATCACACAGTGACTTGTTCTGGGGAAGTTCCGTCTTGTGGATTATTTGTGGATTTGATTCACTCAATTTACGGCAATTTCGCCTGTTTACAATTCCGTTAAGATCAAAATAGACGTCATCAGACATAAACAGAAAATTTATCAAGTTATTGTCTTTTTCAGTCATTACAATCATTTTTATTTGCAGTCATCATGAATTATACGTTCTAATGAATTTGCCTAAATTGACACGAAGGCGGATCTCGATGGTACGGTCTTCTTGCGATACTTCCAGATTCTCCAAATATGTTTACCAACCTCATAATGATTCATCTGCTCGGGGGAGTGCCGCCAAAATCGCATCTGAATTCCTTTTGGATGGAAATGACGGACTGCAAAGCATGGTAACGCTGTACTAACGAAACTCTCTTTTTGGTATCCCAAGCATTCATTTTTAAAAAATGTAAATAATAATCAGTCAAATAAATAACAAAAAGGTTAGTCGATTATTCACACAGCAAAAAAGTTAGTACGGTTTGTTTTTGTAACAGGATTCGTGAGCCACCCTGTTATTCTCCTCTGCTGTCAACTGTCAAAATTTTAACCGAATCGAACTGGTTTGGGTTTGACCACGCATGAAATCAGACGTGACTTGACTGGGAATTCATGAAAAAAGAGAGGAAATCAGTCAGCGATCCGATTGTTGTTTAAAAAAAAACCCAGTCATGACTTATCCGTCAATGGTGACCGTCAAAAATTGATTTAACGAGTTTCATCGTGGCCGCACTCGATGTTTGATGAGCAGACGTTGTATTGGCAGATGGTCGATGGAATGTGAGCGACATAATTGATATCGTAAGCACCGCAAAGAACAGTATGGGTCATATCTTGCACGAAATACGGGCACTCGGGGCGATGGGTGCCGTGTTTTCTCACTCCCGACAACAAATACAACCGTGACACCACTTCCAAGCATTGTTTGACACTGTTTAAGCGAAATTCGAAGGATTCTCTGCGTCGTTTGTGACTTTTGACGAAACAGGGATCGAAACAGTGGTAAAAATTCTAAAAATTAGATTCCCAAATTTACATAAAATTCTAAGCTAAATAAATTTGTTAAAATTAAAGACGCAGTCTTCAACACACATGTTAATTATCTGACTTTGCGAAGAGATATTGCGTCACTTATTTACAAAGTTGCTTCACTTATTTAGCTAAATGCTCGCCTTAACATATATATCCACACAAAACCATATTAAATACTTAGATTAAATATAGCCGAGAGTTAATTGAAGCTGTCAGTTGTCAAGCTAAACAAAAATTAAAATGGTGACAAAAAAAAAATGGAATAAAAAACAACTTTCATTAAAATGGTGACGCCAAAGCAGTTTACAAAATGAGAAAAGACAAAAAAGTGACGTGAGAACCCTCTGTCTTTCAAAATTGAGACACCCTAAAAGTTTTGGCTTACATCTCATGTATATGTATAAGTGTATATACAAAATAAAAATTGTAAGCGTGTACTATATGAGAATAACAAAAACATACAGATATGGTTTCGCATTTCGTAACACTTACCAGCAACGCCACATATCCATGCACGCCGTTGTAGGTGCGCAACATCTGATACAATTCACCAGTACAATAGTCATGGCATTTAGGTAGAGTCGTCTCCTGCGTATGATTGGGATACTTGTACTTCTCTACTAGTTTCATAAAATCTCGAAACTCGTCATCGGTTACCAGCTTCTCCCAATTAGAGAGATTCACATTGGGCAACAGGTCGGAAGAGAGCATCGCGTGTGCTGCCGCGCTCAATAAAGCGGTATTTGATGTCATTTTTTGTTTTTGTTTTGCTTCTGGTTATACGTGTGTAAGTGCGGAGGCGTCCTTGTTGAAGCAGATATTAACTTTTCCGTTGCGTGGATGAAAAGTAGAAAATTGTGTTCTGCGAACTGGAAAAAGCGAAACAATCACTTCGGTTAGAATTTGTAATTTGTTGGCGTTTAGATTTGGGGTTAGATTTAAAATTTATGTGACATGACTTATGAAAATAAACTTTATGCGCTTGGTAAATATTTTATTTTATATTACATGGGCCAAGGTGGTAGCAAAACCTGTTAATATCAACGTATCAAAACTTCCATGATATAATACCTATTATAGCTGTACCCGAAAAAATTGTCGATTTATTTTTAGTAGACCTAACATATGTACATATATTAGCTTTATATATATATGGTGTAAAATTAACTAGAGTAAGTTGGGATACACCAATACTATATATTCGTTGTATGATGGTTTGGAAAAGATATTGGTTGATTTTTTAACTGGAACTGGAAGCATTACTCGCTGAAGATGCAACTAAACACAAGAAGAGCTCGCGGAATCTTTGAAATGCACTCAAGCAGTCATTTCTAAATGGTCAAAAGCTAAGAAATGGAGTACCATAAGAATTCAAGACAAGCGACATTACGAGATGATTTTGTATGTCAGACCTGCTGCTTGAACGTTAAAAAAAGAAATCGTTTTTGCATCGGATTGTGACTAGGGATGAAGAATGGGACCATTACGACAACTCTAAGCCGAAAAAAAATTAATTTTTAGCCTGGGAAATCAACCAAATCAACCGCAAAACCGAATATCCATGACGCTAAGTTAACGCTCTGTGGGATGAGTATCATCTAAAACTGGATAAAACGGTTAAGAGGAATGCCACCGACAACAACTCATCAAACTGAAGCGAACTGAGCGATTGCCGAAAAACGCACGGAACTCGCGACTAGACGCGTGGCAATAATTTAGCAACATGACAACGCTCGACCTTATATAGCAAGACTGATTAAAATTTGTTTGGAAAACAGCTGCGGGGAAGACCTTGCGCATTCTGACATTCAAAAATTTACTTAATTTATATATATCGTACTCTAATGTACATACAATATTTTTAAATATCTTAAATACTACTACTTGAAATTTATTGTATTTTTTAAATTTTTGTTTTTAGAAATCATGAACTAGAATTAATTTAATTTATTCTTAAAAAAATACACTGTTCTCATAATTTGTGTAATAATTCTTAAAAGACATTTCGATTAATTTTGCGAAAAAAAACTAAACATACAAAATAACAAGTAAGGAAGAGCTAAGTTCGGGTGTAACCGAACATTTCATACTCTTGCAACTTGCCAGGATCAAAGTCAGGGAAATACCTTCAGGTGCATAATAATCCAATTTCACATATTTTCGGCATTTAACTATAGTATATCCAATATTATACTTCCAGTGAATTTTTCTAAGGTATCTTACTTATTTGCTGAAATATGCGATATAAAGTCAGCTAGTAGTTCGAAAATCATTCGATTAGGTATATGGGGGCTAAAGGAATTATTGACCCGATACAACCCATTTTTGACATACATGCATATTATTAACAGAAAAGGATTCTCCTGGAATTTCTATAACATATCTTACAGATTGACCGATATTTTCGATAAAATGTTCACTGTAGGAACTGAGGTCCACATATTCAATACATGGCGGAGTGGAATAGTTTTATTCCGATGTAGACAATTTTTGGTAACAAGGTCGCTCAACTCAAGGGCACTATTCATGCAAAGTTTTATCCTGATACATTTATTGGTGCTTGATTTGCATACTGGAAGTAGGCGTGGTTGTAGTCCGATTTCGCCCATTTTCGCACTATGACATATGAGAAGAATGTCTCGTACCGAATTTGGTTGGAATCGGTTCAGCAGATCCCAAGATATGGAGTTTCACCTAAAAGTGGGCGGTGCCACGCTCACTGTATAATTTTTAACGCGGTTCCTATAAAGTCATCTCATAAAATCCCATGGATAAAATTTAATTGCTCTGGCGTATTTAGTGCTTGATTTATCGCACTTTTAGTAGTTTTTAACAGTACCGTTACCGATTCCACCCATCTACACACTGTCAATAATCGTGTTAAAAACATTTGATCTCAGTGAATTTTGTTATTATGGCTTTAGCGGCTTAGAAGATATGGACATTAAACCTATTAGGTGGCGGGACCGCGCGCACTTTAAAAAAAATTATGAAACTGCAGATGCGCCTCCCTAATGTGATTAGGTATACCAAATAACAGTCTTGTATCTTATTGTGGTTATTAGTTATGGCAATTTATTTGTTTTTGATTAATGGCATTTTGTGGGCGTGGCAGTGGTCTGATTACGCCCATCTGCAATACCAACCGTCTTACGCTACCAAGAAACATGTCAACCAAGTTTCATAAAGATATCTCAATTTTTACTCAAGTTACAGCTTGCACAGACGGACGGACGGACGGACAGACAGACAGTCATCCGAATTTCAGCTCGTCTCTTCATCCTGATCACTTATATACATATATATAACCCTTTATCTCACTCGATTAGTTTTAGGTGATACAAACAACCGTTAGCTGAACAAAACTATTATACTCTGTAGCAACATGTTACAAGAGGATAAAAACAGCGCTCGCAACCAATAAATATGTTTACGCAATCATTAGTCGCTTGCCATTAAAATCTCAATTAATTTTCCGTCAACATTGCGTGCATTAATTGCTGCAATTAAAGTCGCAAGATTGGAAAATTTATGGTGCTAATTTAAACGGCCTGGCGGTCTGGGCGTGAGCATATTCTGTTGACCTGGAATCAATACTATTGCAGCAGTACATAATTGCCACACATAATTGCTTTATCTACTGGGAATACTACACTACACTTTTTATAGTAAAGACTAAAAATTTTATTTAATTTCTTATTTTACATATATAAATTAAGGTTGTTTGTTTATCTGCTAGCTTGTTTTGAATGTACTGTTATTCTATTAATTCAATTTAAGGAGTTTTTGCCAAAAAATACTAGTTTCGTTTTGATTAGGTTATTATAGGTATATTTGAGGTAAATATTAGCTACTTGCCATTTGAGTAAAATTACTGACCAAACTATTATAATCCGGCGAATAATTGACTTATTGTACTACAACAAAACGTAGCATAACTACAGGATCTAAGGGGTTAAAATGATTAGAACACCTTAAATTCGGTACAATAAAAGTCGCTTGTTATACTGTCCTTCTGTAACCATTTAGATGATTGCAATTGATATTGACTTGGTGAACCAAAGTTGCGACATATTTGCAGTGGCGCTCACTATTGACGGTAGTGTTGGTTCTATTCTTAGATTATTGATCAAGCTACGTTTCACGACATAGATAGTTATATACATACTTCCCAAAAGCATACGATATAATTAGCGTTTACATCTCTGCTAGATGCTAGATAGGTAGCTACATTTTCACGAATTTTAATACAAACTTTTATTGTTGTCTACAAAAAAAGATTCCAAACCGTATTGCCTATATGCCAACGTTTATACCCATTTTCCATAAAATTTTTATAAATCTCAGAGGCTGGGATGGCCGGCAGTGTCTTCAACGAATTTTTGTTTCTTTCGGTTTCAGCTTATATTTGCAGCGCCATTCTTCTAGATTTTTTAACAGTTTCATATTTATGAACTCACGTATTGGCACTAGTAATGATGAGTTTGATGAATTTAGGGTACTCAGCTACGTTGTCAAGTATCTCTGTCACCTCTACTCGACGTCATTTTTGCAATAGATTCAGGTCTTTTCGTACCAATACACGTTTCATACCTAAATCATTAACCAAAATGTGTTGAGTCAATCAATAAGAGATGTTGAAATCCTCTGCTATCCCTCGATGATATTGAAGTACTGTTTCTTTAACTTTTTCGATGTTATCGTCATTAATATAGGTTGGCTACTTGCATGCGGCAAATTTTCGATGATATTGTAATGTAACCTAATGGTAGCTTTCTTTTATTGTAGATGATTGAAATTTTTAATATCACTGTGTGGTAGTGACTTTGGTTCTATTACTTAATAATTTCTTTCGATAACCACGATGACAAAGTCTTTCTCGCTAACAACTTATAAAGGCGTGTAAAGTTGCTGATAATATAGCATTTTACTATATACGTTAATCAACACCCAAACAGAACCATTATATAACTATTAGGCGTTTCTGACTGCTATCTGATATGAGCGTATTTGTAAGAATTCTTTAATTTAGTGTAATTGGCTTCCAAAACTTTAAACGCGTTTTTCTCGAAAAACTGTTTTCAGAGTCAGTGAACGGCTAGACCGAATTTTCACACGACCTTCTTAGATATACATATTTATCAGGTAACGAGCTAAATAAAAAAATTTTTGAGCATAATTTCAATGCTTTAGGCCACTGTGAGTGTAAATTGAAAGGCGCCATTTTGTCAGAAAACAAAATTTTAATTAGTTCTTCGATCATTACCGGTATTCATGTATAGTTATAATAATTTTCTTTTCGTTTTCAAATTTGATATAATCTTAAGCAGAAAAATCTACCTCAACGCCACACACCTTTCTTCGCAGATCCTCCTGGAGATCGTCTACGGGATCAAGGCGATCCAAATGAATCACCGATTTTTAAAGTGCATTAAATTCTGCAAATGTACAGTTTTTTTTTTATTAATTTATTAAATAAAATGTCTCTTCAAAAAAAAATCACAAAAAAACGTTTTTCTGACTTGCAAGCGGATATAACCTTTAAGCATTTCTCAGCAAACGTACAAGAAATTTGCTAATTAACTCAATTAAAGGGCGAAATGATAAATACTAACGAATTTAATTAATTTACTGTTATTTCTTGTAATAATTTCTGCATATTTTGCCTTACTACGCAAAACCGAACTAATTTAAGTCGCCAGACATGATCAGTAAGTGCAAACCATAAATTCAAAAAGAAAGCAGTAAACTTAAAGAAAAGCCAAATAAGTCTTACACAAGGTATATAACTAACTAGCCTTGAGCTAGACTCAGCCAGTCAGCTAAACGAATCTCAGGAGACATAATTAGTGTAGAGACACGTGATTGT